AAGTTAAATCATAGCTTAAATTTTTAAAGAAGATGGCATGATTTAATGCATAAATCCTTTTCATCTAATTATGTATAATATATATTATGTATAAAGACAAGGCACTTTTTAGCGGCTTATCTTAATTTAAAGAGAGCCTACTTCTAGACGAAAGAAACAAAATCTCCAGTCGTGTCTAGCCAACATCCCTCTTCATTCAGGCACCTTTTTTGATGGCCTGTTAATCACCGTCATCAATCTTTTTATGCCACTTGATTTAAATCTAATTAAAGGTAAATATATATCTAAATACATAAAGGTTTTTTGAATGAACTTCACCTTATTCGATGGCTTGTTAATCATTCGCATTTCTGGTCAACTTTCGGAACGGCTTTCCGGAGGATGAAGGTCAGGTAGAGCCATAAAGCGATTTTTATCGTTTTCGTTTAGCACGCGGCCTATGCAAAGTGTTCCGGGCGATGGGGGTCGGCTAGTGGGTCGTCTAGAGGCTCGGCTAGTGGGTGGCTTAGTGGGTGCTACAGTGGGTGGTGCTTGTCCCTCCCCTGGCCGCATTCTAAGCGACATTCAACGACAAATGTCTTTCATTTACGCGTAATAAATACGAAATCTCCGCCGAACAATGGCCGCCGGGCGGCTTTTTCAGTTCCCAACAAGGCCGGGGGGAGGGGCTGGGTGTTTCCTTTCCTTTCGTCCTTTTTTTTGTTGGGGGTGCTGCCTTTAGGCTCTTCTTTTTTTCGAGGGTTTCCCTGGTTGTTGTTCTACGTGGCCGCAGTACCAGTACCACTACCATATACTCGTACTTTGTGGCTGCCTCGAGTGTATTTTACGTTATTTTGTATTTAATTTACAGCCCGAGGCTCCCCCGGGATTTGTACTGTACTGCTGCGGCTTTTAGCGGCATAAAAGTATAAGCCATACATGTTGATTACAAGGCCAAAAAAAAATACAAAAAAAAATCTTATAAATTTATATGTATGTATATATCTGTACATAGCACTTAAATATGCATGAGCGCATTGAATTTAAAAAAGCCTAGAACAGATTCGGTTTTGAAGATTTTCCTTCTGGAGGTGTTATTACCGGAAGTTGGCGCCTACAAGTATTTACTGATGCACCATGGAATGAAAAGCTAGTTTTGCGTTCTAAAATTGACAAGGATTTTAAAAGATATTTAATAAAAAATGTTATATTTTTTATATTTAATTGTAATAAGAATTTAATATTATGTAATTATATTATATGTAACTATAATGATTTATATATTAATTAGTCACTAACAGAATGTAAACAACTTCAATATATGTATGTAGCCGAGAAAACACATGGACAAAAACTCTAAAAATTAAGACAAAATAGTGGCTCTCAATAAACTCTGCTTGGAACCAAAAACGTTATAATACTTTCTTGTATACTTTAGTAAATTACAAATTTTAAATGAAGTATCCAACTGCGGCCCATAGTTAATGTGAGATACTGGGAAATTGCCGGCATCCACTTGAGATGGATGCCACCATTTGTTCGGCGGAAGGCACTCCAAGTTGTGAATGCCTCTGCCGCAGATTAATTAGGAAATGAAGTGCAAGGCAAACACGGCACTCCAGATCTCAAACCGTCGAGTCCTGTGACATTTTCAGACATTATGTGTACAATTGCAAACAAGTCGATGAGAGCCGCCACTCAATGCCTGTTTTAAAACAAGTAACGACCTAGAAATAAATTATTTAAACTTTTTTTTTTACGTACCACCCTGGTAAAGCCTTTAACAACCCCATTTTTGATCAATTATTTATTTCAAAAATCCGTTTGTCACTCATAAAAACCTTTGAGTACTAATCTTCAATTATGTTGAATGGCTTTGTTTTCTGGTTGCTTTAATTTTGGGTTTAATCTAGAAAATATTAAAAGTGAAAAATATATACATGTGTATGGAATTTCCATTCCTTGCAAAGGGTATTATAATTTTTGCCAAAAGTAACACCAAGAAGAATTTAAACAAATTCTTGTAGCTAATCAAGTGTTTTCTGACAACATTGACTATTTTGGGCTATAACTCTGGGGGCTATTTTGACTATTTTGTGGGCTATTTCGAACAGCACTCGCATTGAGACTGATTGTCTTATCAGAAACCTTCAAGCTCTAGCTCAAGGCCAAGCTCAAGCTTGGAGATGATGTAAAAAGCCGGAGCACCAGTATACATCGGTAAATTAAAAACAAGAAAGGGAATAGGAATATGTAATCCAATTTTTTACAATACAAAATCTAAAAAAAGTCCCAAACTTCTATCTTCAAAAATACGAAAGTTGATATTTCTACCAAGTACCATTTCCGATCGTTCAGTTATATGGCAGCTATAGGATATAGTCGGCCGATCCTAATGAAATTTGGTAGGTCGGATCAACTGACCAAATATATAATCTGTACCAAGTTCCAGCTTTCTATCTTCAAAAACACGAGTTGGGTTAAAGTTGGGTCATTTCCGATCGTTCAGTTGTATGGCAGCTATAGGATATAGTCGGCCGATCCTTACGAAATTTAGCATGTCGTATTATTTTGCCAAAAATAGCTCTCACCTAAAATTTGAACTCTCTAACTTTAAAAACACCAAAGTTATACCATTTCCGATCAATCAGTTATATGGCAGCTATAGGATACAGTCGGCCGATCCGGTCCGTTCCGACTTATATACTGCGTGCAAAGGAAAGAAGGGTGTGTGCAAAGTTTCAAGTCGATAGCTTTAAAACTGAGAGACTAGTTTGCGTAGAAACAGACAGACGGACAGACAGACGGACAGACAGACGGACAGACGGACAGACGGACATGCTCATATCAACTCAGGAGGTGATCCTGATCAAGAATATATATACTTTATAGGGTCGGAGATGTCTCCTTCACTGCGTTGCACACTTTTGACCAAAATTATAATACCCTCTGCAAGGGTATAAAAACAGAGGAAGTAAGGACTGAAGAAGTGCCATCAACAGGATGATAGTATTAATCAGAAGCCAAAAACACCAACCCAAAGTAAGCTGGAAGAACCCTGTAAAATGCAAAATAAAACATCGAATTATAAAGCTCTTCCAGATAGTTGTCCACTTAGCCAAAAGTCCGACTTTTTTTTTATCTTTTTACTTCTCATCAGTATCTTACTGTATCTTTGTATCAGATAATTCAACAAATAGCAAAAAATGCAATTAAAAGAATTATGGTATACAAAGTCTCTAGTTTCTTAAATGCCATTTAAAGAATACCGGAAATAGAAAAACGGAACCTAAAAGGGAGCCCAAAAGTATGCAACAGCTGTCTAAATAAGTAGCTTTCAATGAAAGCAGACTGAAGAAGAGTACCGAGTATCACACAGCCTGCCTGTTTATTTGTTCAACTCGTCCCTGAACCAACAAGAGGCCATTAAACAATTAATACCCATTCAGGATGCACTTGGGTGTAAGTATACATACATACATACATATGTGTGTGCGTACGAATGCTTCCTTTTCCTGTTGTGCGCCCCTTTTCCTTGTTTTTCTGTCAGTCGAAATGTCGTAACAACTTGCCAGACACACACATGTGCAAGCCAGCAAACTGTTGAGTTTAATGAAAAAACAATGTCCTACCCAGATCCTTGTGCTCGTCATCCCAATGCCAGTCTCTTCCGCATCCTTCCCAGCATCCTGACTGAAAATGTTGCATTAAATTAGCCACAAACGGAAGGGAGGCAGGAGGGCAACCCCCTCCATTGTAATGGACCACAAAAGGCATTTAGCCGATTTGCATTCACAAACATGCATTTGACGCCACATCTGCTCCAGCCGGCAGAGTAAATGGCAGGACCACAGAAGGCCCTGAAATTTATCTCTATTTGATTAGGTGGTAAGCACTTTCGAGTCGCATCTGTGGCTTCCGACTGAAACTTAAGGCCATAAATATTCATGAGCCCAATGGCATCACCAGCATAAAAAATTTCCAAAATTTGCAAAACTGCACAAAGCTTACAAAAATCATAAAACATAGAACACAGACTAGTAAAAAGTCGGGTTATTGATGAATTCAAGCTTCATAAAATCGTAAAACAATAAATTTATATTACATACTTTTGTTGCGATGTATTCTGGTGCTTTCATGTTGTTTGTTAACAGAAAATAGTTCAAAATTAAAATTGACAGAAAAGTAATAAAGCTGCTAAAATAAAGTTGCGATTCGAAGATAATTTTTATTTTAATTTAACATTTTTGTTGTTTTTGGGGAACAAGCAAACAACAAAAACCATGAGAGTGAATTTATGGATGTTTTTAAGAGACGTTTTTTTTTTAAACGGAGAAGAGTAGCTTTTTTTTTGAAATTTTAGTGCATTTGTCGGCTTCTTTATGGCGTCTATAAAAGTTGCCATGTTGCTAGAAATAAAGGATTAAAACTTTTACGCTCTCAACTTTGTGGCTCTTAAAGATATTTGTTAAAGAAAAAATATAAAAATATTTTTGGCGAAAAAAAATTATTTTTAATAGACACAAAAAATAGTGATATAATTTACTACGAGTATATCATCATATAGTAATATAACTTATGTGCAATAGCCCCTATACTACACCCGGTACTTCATTTTAAACTTAGTTAAGCAGCACAATTTATGAAGGCTGAGCTATTTTCAATTTAAGGAAGATTTAAATTTAAAATTTTTTTTATATTAAACAAAAGACTCAAACGGAAAAAATAAATTAGAAAGGTGAAAAGATTCTAGACCAAGTGGTACCCGACTATATCAAATCCAAACTTTTTCTGATAAAGATTGCCAGTGCTCTCTGATGCTCGAACTCTTTGGTAAATTTTGTTTTTAAAAATATTTTTAAATTTTGTTTGTTTTAATTACTAAGAGTTTATTTTATTTAATTAAATAAACTTTATAAACTTCACCTTCAATCAATAACTTTTTTTTCACCAAACAATTATAACTATTTTGCATAATTATTATTTTACCAAACTCTAGATATAGTAGGTCTTTTGTTCCTGTGTATCCCCCAGTTGGCTCTGACTGCGACATTTTCGGCTTTTATTTTGTGGCAGCTTCAGAGTAATCAAAATTTCGATTAAAATTTTTAGAGAACACCTGTCCGCGTAGAGACCGAGCTCTTTAGTCCTTTACTCTTTGGCAGCCATGGCCTCCGGCATAGACCTGACCCGCGAATGTCGGCACGTGTTCGAGCAGATCCGGAAGCTGAAGCAGCACCGTTACGCTATCCTTTCCATTGAGGATGAGCGACAAATCCGGGTGGAGTGTCTGGGGGTGCGGGAGGCCGGCTACGAGGACTTTCTTGCCGATCTGCTACGTCCTGGCCTGAATCAATGCCGGTTCGCCGTCTACGACTATGCGTATCATCACCAGTGCCAGGGCACCTCATCCACCTGCCTGAAGGAAAAGCTGTTCCTGATGCTGTGGTGTCCTTGGCAGGCACGCATCAAGGACAAGATGCTCTACTCCAGTTCGTTTGCGGTACTCAAGCGGGATTTCGTTGGTATCCAGAAATGCATCCAGGCCACCGAGCTGGACGAGGCCTGCCGGGATGCCGTAGAGGAGCAGCTGCGCTCGCTGGACAGGGACTAAAGAGTCAAATGGGTCAAGTAATAACTATATTAATTTGTTAATAAAAATTATTAGGTTTCAACTTAAGATTATGGTACAGAAAATTATCCAAAATATAGGTCTAACTATGGATTATATCAAAAAAAAGCTTGACAAAAAACGGGTTAAAGGCTTAATATATAGGAAAATTTCTAAGCCTCGTCTTTTTCATTAAAAGCTTCGAAATTACGCCTTTTTGACGTCATTCCTCAATGGGTAATTTAATTCATCTATTAAAAATAGTTTTCTATTATATTTTTTTAAGAATAAGTATATACATATATACTTCTATAAATATCTCAAAATTTTTTTAAAAAGAAACAAGATATTCAAGAAACCACAACTGGCTTAGTGGCTTAAAGTTGAGGAGCGAAAAACGATCCCCTAGCTCTTAAGATAAAGTCTAAGTTAAAGAACATAGAGTTTTTAAACAACAGGACAATTTTTTTTAGGATTAAATAGTACTATACCAGAATCGACGCTTTCAATAAATAAACCCTTCGCTATTACTTCTTTAAACGCTAAAAACATGCGTAGGCAAGTACCTTTAACAAGGATATTGTTTAATGAAATTTAAAAAGCCTTGCATACATTTTAAGCATATCCTGGATTAAGAGGAAATAACTTTTCACTTAAAAAGCAAATTTGTGAGTCCCCAGGCCCTGACTTCTCATATGCAAATCATCAAATCCCGAATACTCTTATGAAAATATGAAAATTTGAATAAAGTAGCATATCATTAAGCGACTCACAACATTAAATAAAATATATTTTATGCTAACACATTTAAAAGTGAGTGAGTGTTTGGTGGAATGACCTTTTGGGTACTAAAAAGAGGTCCTTTTTGACCCCAATGGTCCAGTGGTGGTTTAAATTGCCTTTTGGTGTGAGTGTGGGTGTTTGTGTGTGTGCTTTTCGGTGTCCTTACAGGACGTCTCGTTTTCCGTTGCCACGGGCCATGATTTAATTTGATTTCGCCGGCATTCTCTAATGAGCCCATTTGGCATATGGATGCCACTTGCCACTTGCCACGAGTCATTTGTTTGTGCCTCTCCAAGCCCTCGAACCCTCCTCCAACTTCCTATATATATTCTATTATTTTTCTTTTTTGTTGTCATTATCTTGGTCTGGCTAAAAATACTTTCCTGTCCTAGTTCAATCTTTGGCAAGGGAAAAGTTTTGTGCTCGGCGCTCAGAAAGGACTTCTTTTTTATCTCACTCATAAATCACAGGCAAGTTGAAAACGCCAAAAGAATCCTTGAGGGTGGGCGGTTTTCCATATCATTTGGCAAAAAAGTCGGAAATTAATCAAATTGCGGAGGAGCACGTCACCCTGAAGGAGCGTCTATGTTGCCACAATTGTTGCCACACAACTTCAAAAGCGTTGCGATATTCAATTGGAGTGGAAAATCTTGAAAATACTTATCCTTCCCTCAGCCGAGGCAACATTGTACTAGGATCAGTTTGTCGACTAGAACTATATTTTATTGCCTTTAAGAAAACACCAACAAAAAAGAATTATTCGTCATACGTCTGGGAAAAGGAAAAGAACAAGAACAAGAACAAGGACAAGGAGACGTTGCTGATGTCCCTTGAGATTTTCCAGACAAGGACACTGCCAGGAAGAGGGCTACTTGCAGAAAGGGAATCACCAGCAGACGGAAGGACAATGACAAGGATATCACAAAACAACAAAACAAAATTATGCCTGTCTAGGGTGTAGACGAATCATGCATGTTCTTTTAAAATTATTTAATATAAAAAATTAAAAATCCTTATGGAAATTTGGAGGGCTATGTTATAGGGCACGTGTAAGATATTGAAGGCTCATCGTTTTAGACTAAAAAACTAAAAACTGAAAAAAAGAAGGGAAAGCTAACTTCGTGCGGAGTCAAAATTGATATACCCTTGCAGTTAATCCTCTTCTTGAAAAATACCAAATTCAAAAGTACCTTCAACAACATGAATGTTATGGCATTTCCGAACAACCAGTTATATGGCAGCTATAGGATACAGTCGGCCGATCCTGGACGATACAGTCGGCCGATCCTGGACGTTCCACGATCCTGGACGCTTTTATAAATTAACACTTATTTGTTTATTTATGTCTTATAATTTTTATATATGTAGTTATCCAATTGATAGAAAATAAGAAAATCCAAAGAAAGGACACTACACCGTAGACCAGCCCAATAGTGACATTGTCTTTAAATTTTTGCCAAGCAGACGGCTGTAAAAGGGGTTTTATAATAGCCAGAGCCATCTTCTTCTTGTCATGGTTATCACATAGTAGGTTAAAAAGTCTACGTTCGATGCTTATTACCGAATAACAGTCTGGAGCAGCTATCTTTATGACATGGTTGGAGTACCTTTGCTCCATCATGCGTATAAAGCGCTGTATCTTCTTCTTTTTTTGCTTCCCAGACGCAGGTATCTTGGAGCACACTATCTTAAGGTCGTTAATATCCTCCAACAACCCATTGTCGGGCTGTAAGATCCCGACACAGACCACTGGTATGTTCTTCAATAGGGGTCCTCCAGCCATCACTCTCTTTACCTGTGAAGCGGTTATCGAGGGAATAAATATTTAAATATAATATATTACGTTTGATGCTTATTTGTTACGATGTTTACAGGAAAATTATATATATTTATATGAAAAGGCGGATTCTACACATGTTTCTTAAATTGAATCCCAAGCCTGCTTCAAATGATTTATTCCTAGAATCTAGAAAACAAGAATAAGTGCATCAGAAACACTGTGAAATTCGTTTTCAATTAAACAAGAAAAGAAAGCTAATTTCGGACGGAACCAAAGTTGTTATACCGTCACAGTTATATATCCGATATTCTATCTTCAAAAATATTAAAGTTTAGGATATAGACGGTTGATCCTGATGAAATTTGGGAAGTCGGATCAATTGGCAAGAATAAAATCTTTTATCTTCAAAAACACGAATGTTGGATCATTTCCGATCTTTTAGTTATATGGCAGCTATAATATGCTATATATATCTATACTGTATCTATACTATATCTATATCTATACTATACTATCTATATTCTATCTATATTCTATCTATAATTTATATCTATACTGTGTGAAGGGTGTGTGCAAGTTTTAAGTCGATAGCTTTAAAACTCTAGAAACAGTCAGACAGACGGACATGCTTCCATCAAATCAGGAGGTGATCCTGATCAAGAATATATGAATATATTCTATAGGGTCGGAGATGTCTCCTTCACTGCGTTGCACACTTTTGACCAAAGCTTTAATACCCTCTGCTAAAATACCCTTTGCTCACCAAGTTTCTTACAATATATTAACTTTTTAAACCGAATAAATTGTTTATTTTAAATTTCAAAAACCAACTATGTATATTCAATTATCCATAATACCTTGTGTAAGGGTATCTAAAAGGGTCCCTTTAAAAAAAAGAGTGAAAGGAGAAAGTAAAAAAGTGAAAGCCAGGAAAGGCAAAGACGTAGTAAAGTTTTTTTTGTTGCAAATGAAGCGAGCGAAGGCAACTCGGCAAACAGAACCAGGATAAAAAACCTCAAAGAGATGCAGTCATAAATTTTGCCATCACAGACCTCCATCCGCCCCTATCTGCCCCGCCCATAACGTTAGCAAATACGCCGGAGAGTGTAAAAAATCAAAGCAAAACGGCGCACAGGCTAGAAAAAAAACCAGATACGAAACGGAGAAACCGAACCAAAATCCACGCAAATCTAGTGGAAAATTAAAATTTTGCCAATTTATGCGTGCCAGTGGTATGGGTGGACAGGGGAGTGGTGACAGAAAGGGGACCACACATATACATACACTGGCAAAAAAAATAGGATATTAGTGCTAATAGGAAGTGGGGATTATTAGTATGGATATTATGTTTTCTAAAAATGTGGTTCTAGAAATAAGGCGATATTATAGATTAATTAATTAAGTTGATTTGGAAAAAATTAAATGCTGACTTTGACCTTAATTCCGTATGAAAATACATCTTTATTTATTGATACCTAAATTAATTAAACAAGTTTTTATAAATTTTAATTTCAAAAGTAGTAAGCCCAACCTATAGATGGTTTGTTTATATTCCATAATAATCATTTCCATGCCGTTCCTGTGGCAAGGTGAATTAAATCGGATGGAAATGCTTGGCTCCATTGCACTTATAGTATAAAAATAGAATACACTTTTATTTAAAAAGTGATAAATTAAAAAAAAAAATCAAGTTTTTTAAGAAAAAACATTGTGGCACTTTCTAGGTTACTTCCCTTGGAAATTACGTTTCTTTTAAGTGTAAAATTTTTTTTTAACCAATCCACATCCTATCCCTTCTTTTTTGTCAAGTGTAATCCTTTCTGGCAAATGAAGTGGGCGTAAAAGATGCCTCATCATACCTCCAGAAACTCGGTTGCAGCCTGATACTTGGAAATTCGCGTGGCTTCCCACGCACACGAAAGCGAGTTTACCTTTGACCTGCGAGCGGAAATGAAGCTTTTAGCCGGAGACGGCAGAATGCAGAATGCAAAATGGATTTCTTAGCCCTTAACTGTGTAATCCCCGTGCGTGTCAGGTGCATTTTCGAGCTGCTGCCAGAATGTGGCAGGCACTTTTCTCCTCTGTCTGGCAGCCGTTGCTTCTCTTTCCTTTCAACCGGAACTTTTCTAATCCTATGAATTCACGGGAATCGAAACCACTCAGGAATACCAAGAAAAAAAATCCCAAGAGTACGAGGTGGAGGCGGTAAGTAATTAGCCAAAGTCATTGACAAGTAAAGGATGGTCCGAGACACCTAAGCTGGAGGCAGGAGCCAGGAGACACGAGTCGGGAGGCGATTTAACTCTTAATGCGTTTGTCAATGGCCAAAAGTTTCCCGTTTTCATTTTCAATTTGCCTTCGAAGGCGTTTGGCCGCGTCTTTTTCGGCATTTAAGCCGCTTAGAAACTGGCCAAAACCGAGACAGATGTCGCTGGTGGAAGCTGTGGAAGTCACAAGCAATTCCTGGACCAACAACAATTTTCTACACTGGAAAAAAATAG